AAACACTGTATATCGAACACAAGGGCAATAAATATTAGGAATAGTATTTATGGCGTTTGCGATCGTGTGCGATAATTTTTTAAATGAATGCATGTTCTTCATATAAATTTGGACTAGGAATGAGGTCGGGTCGTTTTAAACATAGGATAGATATATCTTGAAAAAGAATATTAAATAAAATTAGATTATCGATCGTCACAAACATGCTAATCACATTAATCAACACAAGTCGAGGATTGAAACTTGAAGTCAATAGGTGGATCTGAAAATTCAATATATTCATTTCTTATTTCATAAAAACCATAGTTCGTTTCTTTCATAGCACAATTTGGCATAATAGAAAAACTCAACAAGCTACTTATTTTGCTACAATAGATCAAATTTGGTAAACACTAACATACTAAGATTGAATGTTATTCCTCGTGGGACGATATTCGTAATTCACTATGTATTACTTGCCAACGATCCCATACGCTTACAGGATTTTCTCGAACAATCCCCTAAATGCAGATCTCCCAAGCTTGTTGAGAACATGAGCTCATATGTTGTAGTTAATGAGGATGCATTTTCGAACACAAAAAAGTTATTGAAGAACCTTACTGTCCTCTTCCACATATTGTTGGTTCACATCCCTTAATCTCACAAGCCTGGTGCACTACTCTTAAAATATATCAAAACTGTCTGTATTAACTAGTACAATATACTTCCAGCTTATGGATAACACAGATTGACAACTAGAAGTTATTTATGCTGACAGTACATTTGCAACAAAATTGAACTAGCATCAATTCCCCATGAAAATCAATAATTTGAAGACCAAGATTTACTTTATTTTAACTAATAATAACTGTAATACTTATGACATTACTAATATCTACTATAGAGATATTGAAGTAATAGTTTCTGTGAATAATAAGAGGAACAATAAATTATGTTGAAGTTTTTTTACGATTGCCATCAACCTCGAAAAATATTATCCTGTAGAGAATCTGTTCATGTCCTTGAAATTACTTGTTAGATGGAAAGCCACAAGGATTTTCCGCATTGCCCTCAGACGCTCAAGTTAGACCGAACTGTAGAATCAAAAGGGGTTCTGTGATCATATTTTAATCTTCAGTCGGCAAAATTCCAGCATTTTGTCCCTGTTCTTGTTATTATCAACCACCTTAATGCTTTCAAATTTTACATATTAAAACAACACGAAGTACAAATGTTTGGTAAATCAGAAAATTAATTAACAGGCCTGCACTTGGCTTTGCAACCATATCTATGTGCCTAAGAGGGTGTTCTTCCAAAGTTTCTGTCTATAAAAGCCATCTCAAGAAGTCACATTAATCAGTAGAAGGCAGCAAAATACAATATACCATGGCTCAGGTTTATAAAACACTACTCAATCTGGTTCTGGTGCTTAGTCTTGTTCTCACACTATCTACGGCCAATAGCAAACAACTTGAAAGTAAGTATTTCTTGTTGCAATTTTCAAATATAAGCTAACTTGTTTATCAAAAGTTCGGAGGAGCTAGGTTGAACTTTGGAAGGCTAGAGTTTTTGTTGAATAAGTTGATCTAAAAGTTTAAACTTTAGATTGGACTTAATTTTAATTATTATCTTCAACACGCCCATCACGGATAGGTGGATTAATTTTTTTCCTATCAAAGCCTAAAGTGTGCAATATTCATTTAAAGGGGTGGCGATGAAAGTTGAAATGAGGACCGTTGGTATAATGCTATGTACAGATTAATGACATGGCACTATATTAAAATTTAACTACTTTTCTTTTCTCTTTCTCTCTCTTCCAAACTGTTTTTTTTCTTCTTTTTGTACATCATTTGTAAATAATTATGTACAAGTAGCATTGTCAAGGACTGTTGATTGCTCTCATATCATGGTGAACCATTTATCTAAAAAATTTTGTTAGATAAAGCCGAATGTATATAATTTAAATATTGTCAACAGTTTCATTTTAAACTAGTGAAACTTATGAATAGGTTACTATAACTCTTCATTTTCTAATAAAATACTGGTTAAAATTTGTACAAGGTATTTTCTAAAAAAGGTAAAGCTAAAATGAGGATAAAAACTGGTGCTACTGTGGCTGCATGTCCCACTTTAAGAAGGAATGTATGAGTATAAAAGGACTTTTTTTCGTATACAGAAGCTGGGTTCACAGAATAACTTACAAAGGTGGGCCCCACCCGAATAAAAATTGCCAAAAATTAAAGCCCCCCCCCCCTATTTGTGATTTGCGAAGCCCTTGTGAAAATTCCCCTGTACGCCAATCATCACTTATTATAAAAAATGGTGCTACTGTTGCTACGTGTCCTGCTTTAAGAAGGAATGTTAAAGTAACTGTTTTTCTCTGATATAGTTCGCTTTGGAAGCACTGCTACCACTACGATTTGCAATTCCGTATATGGAGCAGAGAGTGGTGAAAATTTAATTTTCCTTTTGAAGATTTCATTAAGATTAATCCAAACATCAACTGTGATGCAATCTTCGTGGGTCAGTGGCTTTGCATTAATGGTTCTGCCTAACTACTGCAGATTATGAAGAACTTAATAAAGGATGATACAATATTGTCCTCTCAAATGTTGTCTCTTTTAGAATACAATTGTTGTCATCTCCTTTTTATATAATCGTTAACTTATAATGTTTCGAAGTTATGACCTTTCTTCATTCCACGAAGATTTTATGATTTGAATGATCAATTCACGATTTAATAAAATTAAAGATGCACTTTATGAAGATTTTATGATTTGAATGAATAACTAAAAACTGTCTCAACTGCCAATTTTTATTTTTGTTTTCATGATTTTAATAAATCACTAAGTAATACTCTGACTGCTATATTTTACTGGTTTGTTTGAAAAAAAAAAAAAAAGGAGGAAGACGAAGAAGAAATTCCACAGTTTTTACCATTTGGACACTTTATCTAATTTAATTATTTCTTTCAAATAATATGTTTGTCATGATAATCTAACAGTGGGTTCCTGTCACTTAATATCAGAATTATATTGAGTTGGTTTTAAAATTTATAAATCAAAGTAACATGTATTAATTAGTACGAGATGATTCTTCCACATTTTATGAACTATAAAGTTTAACCGCCAGAAGTAATATGTATTGATAATGTAAATTGATTGGAAAAACTGTTGGAAATAAAAAATTATGGGAAGAAAGACTAGAGAAAAAAATTTAGAAAATTCTCAAAATTTTTTGTATTCTATGGCTTGGCTCATAAAATGTCTCAAGCACAAAACCTTTTATAGGTACAAAGGATCATATATACATTGTATGAACTTAAGAGATTAATTAATGACTTTTTCTACATACTATGAATAATAGGATATAAAGAACCATTTGGATACATGATTTAAATAAATGCATGAATATTAAATAAATTAATTCATGAGTCAAATTTAATTTTTTTCATCATTCATGAATCAAGTTTAATTTCCAACACCCCTTCTTAAACTTGATTCCCTCTTGATAACTCCAATCCAAGTACGCAATCTTGCAAAATCACCATTCTTCAATGGTTTGGTGAAAAATTTCTGCTACTTGATTATTGGTTTTCACATAAGCAAGCTCAACTTCTTTGTTCTCAATGCACTCTCTAATGAAGTGAAATCTCGTATCTATATGCTTGCTTCGATCATAAAACATAGGATTTTTACCCAAAGCAATAGTTGACTTGTCATCAACATAAATTGGTGTAGCTTCGTTTTGAGGCATATGAAGCATCTCCAATAATTTCCGTAGCCAAATGGCATGATAAACACATGATGCAGTGGAAACATATTCAGCTTTACAAGTAGAAAGGGTACAATGGGCTGCTTCTTTTAACACCAAGTGAAAGCGGTGTTACCCACGAAAAATAAAAATCCAATGGCGCTTTTTCGATCATTAATATCACTAGCCCAATCACTATCACTGTAGCCATGACGCTTGAAATTTGTAGAAAAAGAATAAGCTAAGCCATAGTCAAAGGTACCTTTAATGTAGCTAAGTATCCTTTTAGCAATCTCCAAGTGAGTTAAAGTTGGTGCCTCCATATAACGACTAATGAGACCAATACCATAAAGAATATCAGGTCTTGCACAAGTTAAATATCTCAAGCTTCCAACAAGATATCTATAGAGAGATGGATCCACATTCGTGCTCTCGTCATTTTTTGACATCTTTGTTCCACACCCAATGGGAGTACTCACCGGATTGCAATTTTGCATTTTGAATTTTTCAAGAACTTTCTTTGCATAAGTTTCTTGAAAAATAAAAATGTCATCTCCATTTTGTTTTACCTCAATTTCGAGGTAGTATGACATGAGCCCAATGTCAGTCATCTCAATTTCTTGAGCCATCATTCTCTTAAGTTCATCAAACATGTTTTCATTGTTGTCGGTGAATATCAAGTCATCAACGTACAAGCACACAGTCATAAAACCTCCAAATGCGTCCCTTTTAACGTAAAGAGCATACTTATGTAGACATTTGATGAATCCATGATCTTGAAAATACTTGTCAATCGAGCTATACCATACTCTAGGTGCTTGCTTCAAGCCATATAGTACCTTCTTTAGCTTCAAAACTTTATCTTCATGTTCGTTGACAACATAACCCAATGGTTGTTGAACGTACACTTCTTCTTCAAGGTATCCATTCAAAAAAGCGGACTTGACGTCCATTTGATAAACTTTTCACTTATTTTGAGCTGCCAAGGAAATAATTAATCGAATGGTTTCCATGCAAGCAACGGGGGTAAAGACCTTATCATAGTCAATGCCATGATTTTGGCTATAGCCTTTGGCAACAAGTCTTGGCCTTGTATTTTTCCACTTCTCCTCGATTATTTTTCTTTACTTTGTACACCCATTTCACGCCAATTGCTTTTTTCCCTTCAGGAAGAGAGGCTAGCTCCCATGTATTGTTCTTTTTTATTGCTCGGATCTCCTCATCCATTGCATGCCTCCATTTTTTATCGTCCATTGCCTCTTCAAAGTTCAATGCTCGGTGTCAGCGAAGACACAAAACAAAGATGGATTATCAACAATTTCAGTTTCTTCATAAATCTTTGCAAGATTTCTGATACGACTCTGTCCTTTGGAGGGACTATCATGAGGAGATTGAGGAGCAGAAGAATGCGGTGGAGTGGCATCTTCACTTGCGTTTTGGCTAGAGTCTCCTTCTTGGAAAGGAAAAATAATGTATTCTTCATTTTTCGGAACATTCCAACTCCACGAACTTCCTTCGTTGAATTTTGCATCTCTACTAATAACAATCTTTCCATTGCAAGGATTGTAAAACTTGTAGCCTTTAGAGTTTGCATCATAATCGATGAAAACAAACTTCTTACTTTTCTCATCAAGTTTTAATCTCTTCTCATCTGACACATGAATATAGGCAATACTACCAAAAATACGTAAATGAGAAACACTAGGTTTCTTAGCACTCCAAGCTTCTTGTGGAGTCATGTCTTGAACACTTCCCGAAGGGGAAAGATTAGATAAATACACGGAACATGTAACAGTCTCGGACCAAAACTCATTCTCCATACTCTTGCTCTTAAGCATACTACGAATCATGTCGAGGATGGTTCTATTCTTCCGCTCCACAACACCATTTTGTTGCGATGATCTTGGAACTGTAAGGAAATGCCAGATTCCATTAGTATCACAAAAATTATTAAACTCCTTGGAAGTAAATTCTCCACCTCGATGCGTCCTTAATGATTTGATTGAGTTGCCACTCTCATTTTAAACAAGAGCTTTGAATTTTTTGAATGCTCCAAAAACTTCATCTTTCGTCTTTAAAAAATAAACCGAGGTCTTGCGAGAAAAATCATCAATAAATAGTAAAAAAATAATTTGCTTTACCATGAGAGGGTGGTTTGATTAGCCCACACACATCAGCATGAATAAGTTAGAGTGGCTTTATTGCTCTTGAGGTGGATTCCTTTGGAAAGCTTTTTCTAGTTTGCTTGCTAACGAGGATTCTTCACAAAGTTGATTGGGATGATTAATTTTTGGCAACCTATTCACCATTTCTTCATTCGTCAAGGTCTTTAAGCCACTAAAATTCAAATGACCAAATCTTAAGTGCCAAAGCCAAGAATTGTCTTTAGCACAAGCTTTTAGACACCTTGGATGATCAACATTGACATCGAGTAATTGGTACCTTTGCAATCAATTTATGAGAAACATCTCTCAAAGTAAGGCAATGATTCTTCAAGTAAATGTCATAGCCATTCTCAAGTAATTGTCCTAAACTCAAAATATTAGACTTCAAAATAGGTACATAATAAACTTAAGAAATCAAAAGATGACTTCCATTTTTAGTATGAATAAGAACATCACCTTTGCTCTTTATTGGAATTTTAGTTTCATCTCCAAAAACAATGTTGCCTTTTACCGACTCATTTATTGTTGAGAATAACTCCTTGTTGCCACTCATGTGATTGGCGGCACCGATGTCAAGGTACCACGATTATTTATCCTTTTCTTCTTTGGTTGCCAACAACAACAACAACAATTCTTTGTCTTCCTTTGCTTCAACATAATTCACTTTCTCTTCATTATTAGTGGTGTCACTCCTACATTCGGAAGCATAGCGACCATATTTATGACAAGTGTAACATTGAACATTGGACTTGTCATATCTTCTTCCACCACATCTCTTGAAGCCATAGTTCCAACACCCTCGTCCTCTCGATTGATTGCTTGATCCTTCATTATTCAAATTTTGTTTTCCATCATTTCTTTCATTACCACGACCATAATTTCCTCCATGACCACGACCACAACCACGACCTTGACCATGAATTTAACCTCTTCCTTGAGATCGTCCTTGCTCTTTCTGTTGACCTCCCAAGGAGACATTCGTTTGGAAAACTTGAGCTACTGGTTCTCCTTTCTTCTTCAATCTTTCTTTATATGCTTGCAAGGACCCATGAGTTGATCAAGGGTCATGATATCGAAGTCATTAGGCTCTTCAATGGCAGTACTAACAAACTCAAGTTTTAAGTCAAGCAATCTAAGAATTTTCTCGATGACACAACTTTCTTCAATATTCTCCCCGTACCGCTTGATATGATTGACAATGGAGGACACTCTAGTGAAATAGTCAAAGACAGATTCAGACTCTTTCATGTGCAGAGATTCGAATTCCCCACAAAGGATTTGAAGGTGAACCTTTATCATTTTTTCAATTCTCTTGAAATTGTTCTCGAGAATCTCCCAAACTTCCTTAGCTTTTGTTGAGGACGCAACTTTCTCGAACATGGCTTCATCTAAGCCCATGTGAATAATAGAGAGAGTGTGTTGATCTAACTTGTGGCACCTTTGCAAGGCATTCCTTTGAGCTTGACTTAAAGCTCCTTCATTCTGTGGTTCATCATAGCCTTTCTCTACAACTTCTCATGCCTCTTGTGAGTTGAGCAACGCCTTCATGCGTGTGCTCCAATGTCCATAATTTTCCATTGTTAGTTTGGGGACAATAAAAGGAATTGAACTACTCATCTTTGATATGGCTATGATACCACTTTGTTGGAAATAAAAAATTATAGGATGAAAGACGAGAGAAAAATTCAAAGAATTCTAAAAAATATTTGTATTCTATGGCTTGGCTCATAAAATGTCTCAAGCGCAAGGACTTTTAGAGGTTCAAAGGATCCCAAATACATTGTATGAAATAAAAAGACTAATTAATGACTTTTCCTACATATTATGAATAATAGGAAACAAAGAACCATTTGGATACATGATTTAAATAAATGCATGAATATTAAATAAACTAATTCATGTATCAAATTTAATTTTTTTTTTATCATTCATGAATCAAGTTTAATTTCCAACAAAAACTAAGTTTTGAGAAAGTTTTCTGTTTTTTCCACACTGAGACGTTTCATTATATAGCATAGAGATCCGACATCAAAGAGAGAACAAAATAAATACAAAGGAAAAAAACAAAGAATATTATTTCAACAAATTGCAGAAACACCAGAAATTTCCACTTATATAGCAGAATATTCTTTTCAAGTAAGAATTCTTAAGTCGAAATTCATGTTCAAACATGCTGTAATTCTGTCACCCTTAACAGCCTTAACTCTGTTAGAAACTGAAGTTGCATTTAGCGCTTATAATTGAGTCAAATGTAAATTGTGAACCTTGGAGGAAAAACTCATTTTTTTTCTAGGTTCCCATACCATGTCTACAGTTTGAAATGAATGTCATTAACAAAATATTAAAGGATTAACATAGAATTTTATATAACATGTTTTTTCTCTATTGTATTACAACGGCAACAACCCTATTTACTGGTTACTAATAAGTGTGGATGTCATACATAGTTCATACCCATGTATATGCCTTTGCTAGCGATTTTGAGTTAAGTTCTACATTGATTTTGTTTTATTTTGTGCTTTAGGTCCCACTCCAAGCTACAATTACACATTCTGGACTTCTAAAGGTGAAAAGAAGACTCAATTCAAATGCATTGAAGAGAGAGGATGCTGAAGCATCCGAAGGAGCAAACCTGTGCTGAGTGGTCGTGAATTTCTTGGATTATGTTGTGTAATACTGTGTAGTGAGAGGCGAGATGGGAAAGAAGTTCTATGATCGAATTTGCATCTTAGGTCGGCAACATTCCAGCATTTTTGACCGGGTTATTGTTATCATCAACCACTTTTACCCTCTATATTCATACAACATATTAAAACAACACAAAGTACAAATCAGAAGATTAATTAACTGGCCTGCACCCGGCTTTGCAGCGATGTCTATGTGCTAATGTGGGGTTCTTCCTGAAGTTTCTGTCTATAAATAGTCATGTCATAAAGCCATAATTCTTCATTGGGAGTAAGGTAGCAAACAAAATACTACCATGGCTCAGGCTTACAAAACCATACTCCATTTGGTTCTGGTGCTCAGTCTTGTTCTCACACTATCAATGGCCACCAGCAAACAACTAGTCAGTAAGTATTTGTTGCAATTCAAAAGGAGTAATGTCAGTCATAGTTGACGATTGCAATAGTTATCCTAAATGGCTGCTTGTTATTTGAAGCTTTAGCTTATTATTTGAGACAACAAAATTACAATAAATTAATGCCTCAAATAACAATCTGTCACATAGGATGACTACTGCAGTCACTAACTATGAATAACATTGTTCATCGAAAAATCTTTTTCTTATTAAAAACTTCCAAAACATTTCGTATATAAGCTTGCATTTTTCTCAAAAATGCCTAGGAAGTAGGTTGCATAAAACTTTGAAAGGCTAGGGTTTTTGTTTTGAACTTGAAAATTAGAAAGAAAAATGGTTTTCAATAACTATTTATATTCTAATAAAACACTGATTTAAATTTGAACCAGCTATTTTCTAAAAAGCGTAAAACCAAAAGGCATATAAAAGCTGGTACTATTGCCGCTAAATGTCTCATTCTTGGTAAAATTGTTGGAATAACTCAATTTTTTTTATTCATTCATTTAATTTTTGCTGATGCAGTTGGTTTTGGAAGAACTGAATCCACTCCAGTTTGCAATTCCGTATATGGAGCAGAGAGCAGTGATACTTGTACAAGTGTCGCACAGAAATTTAATTTTTCAGTTGAAGACTTCATCAAGATTAATCCAAACATCAACTGTGAGGCAATCTTCGTGAGTCAATGGCTTTGCATTGACGGTTTTGCCTAACTAGAGCAGATTTTGAAGAACTTAATAAAGGATAATACAATATTGTCCTCCCAAATGTAGTCTCTTTTAGATTACATATAGTAGCTAATTGTTACGTCTCCCTTTTATGATATTGTCAACTAATAACAAGGTATCATGACCTTCCTATAATCCAGGTTTAAGGCTTTCTTGTGAACAGGAGTCCTTTGATGTTATGGTACTCCCTTGGTTCCTAAGCTCTTTGCAAAAGACAATGCACAACAACATTAATTGAATTATGGCTTTAGAAATTAACGTCCTTACCCTTGAAGCAAATAAAAAATAGTCTGTAAAATTTTTACCACTTAATTCATATTTAAACTATGTCAAAAAGAAGGGTGAAAATGATCACACATTAAATATGACTCAGTTTTCACAATGTTTAATCAATATTTATACATTAATCAGATGCTCAAACTTATTCAATATGTGAAAAATAACAAGCTAGCATATGAGTGAACAAGTACATATATGCTTAAGGTACCAATTTTGATGGAACATACCCAAACGGGAAAATCCCGTGGCCCCTAACCATGCAGTAAAACCACTACGAACGTAATAATGCAATTGAATGCTAGGAATTAAAATAAACAACCCTTGTTTCTTAAGGAACACACCCAAATACGAGTTTGCCCCTTCATTTAAAATAGAGGTGGTCTAAAAATTGAAACCTAGTTTAGACTTGATTTTTGTGAAACGTAGAATTAATCTAGATCAACTTAATTATCGCATAGAACTTATGGTTTGAAAAATCATTTTCCTACGGATTTTTTCTAAGAAACACTTTTCATACTATAGATTATAAGTATGAGAATAGAGGAGAAAGGCAAGAAGGTGAGAAACCAACTTGAAGCCCTCAAATGATTGTGTATTTTCTTGCCCAAAGTGTCTAATCGTAATTGTGGATTTGCGCCAAGCTTTATACATGTCAAGAAGACCAAACCTAGCTGAATTAGGTCAGATTTTAGAGTTTAATTTCGTGTGTAGCTAGGAAAGAAACCTTAAATGAGTGGAGTTAATTAGATATGCACACAATTAGGTAATCATAGACAATCTTGGTTTCATTATTTGAACCGGTCCTCTGTAGGCTTCTACACACATGGAAAGTCTCTTCTTCTTTAATCTTTAACTCTCAAGTAGTACATAAAGATGATAGAGTAAGAAGAAAATAGTAGACCCGAACAATTTTTTTTTTTATAAAATATATAATAGCAAGTTCAAATGTTAAGACACTGTGCATATAAGGTCCCTAATGTCAAACAAAATGCAGAGTCTCTGAGAGCAAAACATGAGAATTTAAAAGGAGAGATATAGAGTTCAGGTTTTCTTGAAAAGGATTCATGGAGAAGATGGTGCAATTCAAGAATTTTGAAGAGGTTCGGAATCAAGGTTTATACTTAATTTTCTTCTACATATCATGGGTTAGGTATTCCCAAATTAATTTGTGTTCGTGCAACTCAATTATGTCAGGCTAAACTTGTAGTTGTTACAAAGACCGTGAAATCTTGTCAACTCTTTAATTCAAGATTGTTCATTTTTTACTTCTAATTCTTGTTCGATGAGTATTTGCTAATTAAATGTGTTTGTGAATTATATTGCTTCTAAGTGGTTTAATGTGATTTTAGAACTTTTTGGCAAATGATATGAGGTCCTATAGGTGATAGAGATATATCTATATGTTTTATCAAATAGTTATGGAATGATCATCGTGATTGAATGCAAGACCTAAGTTACTTTGAGAACAGGAACTTGGTAATGCGCATTGGTATGTCATAAATAATTGTAATGAAGTTAGGCAATATTTAGGGTAAGTTCTTAATCAACTTTTAAGTTGTTTTGCTATTAATTACTAATGTGTTGTAGTATTTAATTGCATGTTCCATTTGTAGCGAGCACATGGAGTTGTTGCAAGAACAAAATCATAACAATTTGGAGAAAAGAAAAAAGAATTGTTTCCTGGATGGTTTGCTTCACATGTAAGTTATAATACATGTCTTATTTATTCATTAACGCAACATAACATTTGTATCAGAACGTATATAGATTAAAATTTTTCATTTGCACAGATAACGAGATCATATAATAAAAAAAATTCGGTTGTAAGCAAAGAATTGTATGCATTAGCATGTAAACTAGATTTTAGAATATTTTCCTACTCGGGTTATATTGCTAATGGGGTAAGATTCCTTGTTAAAGATCGAGATGATTGTCGTACAACACAAAATAGTGGAGTGATGGTGTCGGGAGATCAGAATATCAACTTTTTTGGCCTACTGAGTGAAGTTATTGAGTTGGTATACTTTTTGACTACCACATCACTTTGTTCCAATGTAATTGGTACGATAATGATCCAAAGCAAAAAAGAATAGTCATAGATTACCATCTTACTTCTATTAATGTGAATTGTAAATGATACATCGATGATTCCTATATACTTGGCATTCAAGCACAACAAGTATTTTATATGGATTATCTTTTGTTGGGTCTACAATGGAAGGTAGTGGAAAAGGTACAACATAGAGGCATATGAGATATTTCTGAAAAAAATGATGGTGGTAGTGAGCAAGTAATATTTCAAGAAAATTAATCAT